TCAACTTCAATATTAGATATATTTTTATTGTATATTTTTATTTTACTAGGAATCGCATTAATAAATTATAAAGATGTTGTGAAAAATAAGACGGTGAAGCGGCATTAAAAATTCCCATAAAGACGTGTTACAATATAGGTTTGTCGAGGTACCGAAACCTAATACGTGAAATAACCTTTCCATTTGTAAGCACGTTTAAACTGCTAGATCAATAAACTAATGCAAAAAATAGAAAAATAATGAAAAAAATGAACCATCTTCAAGATACGAAATCCAAACGATGTTAATTTCATGAGCTATACTATATAACACATTAGAAAGATGTATGATACAAGTATTAAACATTTTGTAAATGTAAAATGATGTAGGGATGGCAGAGCCAAAAAGAATGCAAACAAGAATATAGGGATGATACAGTTATACATAAGTCATCCCTAGATAAATTTCAATATTAATTTTTTTTAACTTTAATTTTTTAAACTTCGTTTTTATTTTTAATACTTTCTTGGTTGATCATTAAGGAGTTTAGGTGCTAAATGACCCGAAGATAGCTCAGTTGACCATTTATATGTATATATCGTAGTTAAATGTAACCGAAATACCCATGTTTAGTCCGTAACGCACTCGACAATACAGACAATAAAAAGAAGGGTACTTGAGCCATTTCAACAAAACCAATGGGAGACAATTGAATGTTGCCCCGTTATTTTAAGACAAATGTTTCATATAAAAAGAAAAAACAATTTTCAGTTATTAGCTCTTACTTCTTGCAAAGAACTTCTTAATTAAGAGGAAAACTATTTGCAATATAGTTTTAAAATATCATTCTTTCATTAACGAAAAGCCTTATAACTGAAAATTTGTCAGGCGTTTAGCGACTAATGAGGTTATCACGCAGAATAAAATGGACTTAACTCTTGTTACTGTAATACGAAATCATAATTATAAACGAGCATACTTTCTAAGTAAATAACTGTGTGGTCAGGGTTTCGGCCTAACCAATCAGTGATAAGCTTAAAGACGGAAGTTCGGTTAAGTTTTTAATAGCTTTATGGTTTTCATATCTTATCACGCTGTAGTAGTATTTGTTTGTTTATTACGATACAAAATGTTATCGTTATCTTCTTGTTAGTTTATTTTCCGAAAGTTATAGAACAAAATAATTATCAAATATATATATATATATATATATATACACACACACACTACGTTTTATTTTGTTTGTTAGTTAAGCATATATCTACTACAAGTGGCTTATTTGTGCTCTTGGTTACTTAGTTGTGTGTGTGTGTGTGTGTGTGTGTGTGTGTGTGTGTGTGTGTGTGGAGAGAGAGAGAGAGAGA